GGTGGGGTATGGGCGGCGTTGGGTGGTGACGATTGGGATAGTACATAACAATATAATTTTCATATTCATTTGATGTAGAAAATACTCTTAACGTCCACTTGCAAGATGATTACTCATTTTGAAAATATCAATTTCGGAATTCTTGAGCTCATTTGAGTTTTAGCTTAGACTGACTCAACGAAACTTAATTATATTTGATACCATATTAAGACATGATGTTATATGTTAAAACAGCAGTTCACAAGAACACAACATGTTCAATAAGATGTATCAAAACTAACATAGTCAATAGTCATTACTAAAGATCTATTTGCTTGGCACGTTCTCGTAAATCTAGCAATGAATCATATATATTGATTAAAAATTATTCGTGTAGTCCTACTCAAAATTTCTTCACGTACCCGTTTTCAGCTAAGTAAATCAGTTTTAGTAACAATCATCCTTAATAACTATTGTTATATAATTATTTGTTATTCAAAATTTGGGTTGAAATATGAATGAATTAATGATGAAATTGGAAGGCAATGTTGGGTGATTTCTGTTTAACCATGTGTAAGCACGAGCCAAAGGGTCATGTATACACAAGAAGTTGTTTGCTGGAAATTGAAACCATTTTGCTTCTACTATCGGCACGCAAGGATATAACCATACGTACACATGGTTAAAAAATTTAGCCGTTGGTTTGATTTTTCATTTGAATTTTTGGTGTCTTTAGGTAAAAAGTTCTCAACTTTTCACCAATGTTTGGGATATTTTCATGGTATAATGTTAGAAATTCATAAATAGGTGATAGATTTTCAATTCCAAACATAAGAAAACAACATTTGAAATCATCATTCATTCTAAACTTGATTTTCCCCATTCTAGCTAATACATATATTCAATTAGAAGGAATCATTTTGCTTTTGTGCTTCTTTCTTGAAGGCTTGTCAATCATCTAAACTATTTGTCAAAATCTTAAAAGCATATTAAAGGAGGCAAATATCTTTCTTAGGACAACGTATCATATACGTGGTCGAGCCCCATTCTTCATTTCATCTTGTTCAAATTTATATCTTCATCTCCTCCTCTTCAATATTTCCAACAATTATTTGCTATGTAGATATTGATTTATAAGCCTATTGGTGACCCTTTCTTATCTTGTTAATCAAGAAT